GAGAGAGAGAGCGAGAGAGAGAGAATTTTTTACTTGGCGCTGACTTTAGCCAAATCTTTTTTTTTTCCTTTTTTTTTTCTCCGGGAGATGTTTTTGCTAAAGGGCATGTGCGCTCGCCAGACAGAGAGAGACAGAGATAGAAAGCGAGAAATCACCCCCCAGGGGGATGGTCACGCCGTAATCCCTTCTCCTCCATTCTCCTCTCGGGATCGTGGGCACACATGCACATGCGCCCGGAGTGAGTTTAAGCCACCAGGTCCGGGACTCGAACCACGGTCGACTACATGGGATTCCAGCGACATAGCCATTACGCTAACTGCTGGTCCTCCCAATCTTTTTTTTTTTTAATTCTAGATATTAACCCTTATCAAACACACGATTTACAACTTTCTCTCATGCTGAGGATTGTCTTTTAATTTCTCTCTACTTTTTTTTTTTTTTTTTTTTTTATTTTTTGGGGGGTTTTTGCCAAAGAGTAAAGAGTACGTGCACTCACCAGAAAGACTGAGAGAGAGAGAGACAGAAAGTGAGAAATCACCGCCCGGGGGGATAGTCACACCACAATCCCTTCTCTTCCATTCTCCTCCTGGGATCTTGGACATGCATGCACATGTGCCCAGTGTGAGTTTAAGCCACCAAGTCAGGAACTTGAACTGCAGTCAACTACATTGGAGTCCAGCAACGTAGCCATTATGCCATCTGCTGGTCCTGTCTTTTCGATCTCTTAATACGGTCTTTTGGTGCACAGAAGTTTCACTTGTTGACAAATTATAATTTATCTATTATTTTTCTTTTATTATTATTATTTTTTTTGGAGAGGATTTTGCTATAGGGCATGTGAGCTCGCCAGAAAGACAGAGACAGACATAAAGTGAGAAATCACCCCCCAGGGGGGATGACCACGCCACAATCCCTTCTCCTTCATTCTCTTCTTGGGATACTGGGCACACACTCACATGAGCCCAGTGTGAGTTTAAGCCACCAGGTCCAGGACTTGAACCACTGTCAACAACATGGAAGTCCAGCGACACAGCCATTATGCCAACTGCTAGTCACTATTTTTCTTTTATTTCTTGTGCTTTTAGTGTCATACTTAAGAAATCATTGTTAAATCCAAGGTCGTAAGATCTCCTCTGTACTGTCTTCTAAGAGTTTACTCATTTTAACTCTTCAGTTTAGGTCTTTGATTTACTTTTAGTAAATTTGGTTTAATTGCCAGCAGTCACATGTGTTTGCCAGATACAGAGACATGGGGTTGGGTGAAGCACTCCTCCAATAGCATGTGATCATGCCTCAATCCCTTCACCTCCATTTCTCCACCCTGTCAGGACTTTGAGCATGCATACATATTTGACTGGCATGTTTTACAAACTGTGAGAGCCAGGACTCAAACTACATTGATGGACATGTAGGATCTGACTCCCTTAACCATTGGGCTATGGAACTGGCCCTTGAGTAAACTTCTGTTTATTCAAGGAAAGGCTCCAGTTTGATTCATTTACACGTGGATGTCCAGTTTTCCCAATGACATTTGCTGAAGAGTGACTTTCTCACAACTTAATTAAAGGTCTTGGCAACCTTGTCAAAAATTTGACCATATATGTACACATTTATTTCTGAGTCTTCTACCCTATTCCATTGATTTATTATATGTCTTTATGACAGTGACACACTATCTTCATTACTAGCTTTATGTGAATTTTACAATAGGTTTTTCTGGGTCCAGCAGTTGGCGTGATGGATATGTCGCTGGACTGCCATGTAGTTGACTGCAGTTCGAGTCCCGGACCCGGTGGCTTAAACTCATGCCAGGTGCGTGTGCGTGCGTGCTCAAGATCCCAGGAGGGGAATGGAGGAGAAGGGATTGTGGTGTGGCCATCCCCCCTTGGGGGTGATTTCTCGCTTTCTGTCTCTCTCTCTCTCTCTGTCTGGCGAGTGTACGCACCCTATAGCAAAATCCTCTAAAAAAAAAAAAAGGATGGGTTTTTCTATTTCTTCCAAAAACCTCACTAGTATTTAGGTAGGTCTTGCACTGAAGTTCTAGACTGTTTTGGGTAGTACTTTCACCTCAAAAATACTAAGTTTGGGGGCCAGCAGATAGTATAATGGTTACATCACTGAATTCTCATGTAGTTGACCACAGTTCGAGTCCTGGACCAGGCGGCTTGAAACTCACACTGGGCACATGTGTATGTATGTCCCAAATCCTAAGAGGCGAATGGGAGGAGAAATCACGGTGTGGCCATTCTACCTGGGGGGTGATTTCTCACTTTCTGTCTCTCTGTCTCGCTGGTGAGCACATGTACTCTATAATAAAATCTATTTTTTTTTTGGAGAGGATTTTGCTACAGAGCACGTGTGCTCGCCAGACAGACAGAGATAGAGAGACAGAAAGCGAGAATTCACCCCCAAGGGGGGATGGCCACCACAATCCCTTCTCCTCCATTCTCCTCTCGGGATCTTGGGCATGCACGCACACATGCCCAAGTGCATGAGTTCCACATGCCTGAGTTTAAGTCACCGGGTCCGAGACTTGAACTGCCGTCGACTCCATGTGAGTACAGCGACATACCCATTACGCTAACTGCTGGTCCCATAAAATCTCTCTTAAAAAAAAAAATAGTGGGGCTGGCAGGTGGCGTGGTCATTAAGGGCACTGGACTCCCATATGGCCAACCATGGTTCTAGTCCCAGACCTGGTGGCTTGCTCTCTCACTTACTTTCACTCTCTGTCCTTCTATGGTCAAATTAAATTAAATAAATAAAGTTAAATAATTCTTTAAAAAGAAAGTAGTAAGTCTGCCAATTCATCAAAACATATTGTCTTTCCATATATTTATATTTATTTCACCAATGTTACATAGTTTGTGTGTAAGTCTTCCAACTTCTTTGTTAAAATTCATTCCTAAGGATTTTGTTCCTTTTGATGCTATTGTGAATGGAATTTTTTTTGTTTTTTAATTTGCTACAGGGCATGGGACCTTGACAGCAGAAGATGGATAGGGGATGTGTGTGTATGTGTATGTGTGTGTGTGTGTGTGTGTGTGTGTGTGTGTGTGAGGGTGGGTAGAAAGTAAGAAAGCACTCTCTAGGGGGATGACAACAATGCAATCCCTTTTCCTCCACTCTCCCCTCAGGATTTTGGACACACATGCATCTGGTCTGTTTTTCAAGCCACTGAGTCCGGGCCTTGAACTATGCTATTGGCCATGAGGAACTCAGGTGCATTAACCACTATGCCAACCAGCTGACCCTGGAATTTTTTTACTTAATATGGTTTTCGGATTGCTAGTTGTCAGAATATAGAATAATATAACCAATTTCTGCACACTGATTTCTGTGTCCTCTAACTTTAATAAATTCATTTCTTAGGCCCTAGCAGTTTTAAAATAGAATCTTTAGGGTTAAACTAGTGGCTACTGTATTAAAATGTCCTATCCTGGGACAGCACTATCACACAGCGTGCACATGAAACTGGATTCCACATTGCTGACTGATACCAGTGCTTTACACAACACCCAAGATGCTGATGGGACAGAGAACTGGATGAAAAAAAGACTGTAGCATAATCAGATCTCACTGGCATGCTTTCACTCCCTCTTTCCTTTGATCTCTAACTCTTATGCTAACGTATATACCATCTGACATTAAAAAAAGAAAAAAGTGCTATTCTTAAATTTCATAAATATTAGTTATTTCAGTAAAGATAGAAAAGAGTCTTAATCATTTTGCAGAAAAAGAATTGGTTTATTCTTAAGGCAATTTAATGAAAAAAAAAAAAGTGAACTTTGATTATTTTTTATTAAAATGTTTTATTTCTGGGATCAGGAGATGGTGTAATGATTACTCCTACGTAGTTAACCACGTTTCGAGTCCTGAACCTGGCAGCGTAAAACTCATGCCGGGTGCCTGTATGTACACGCCCAAAATTCCAAGAAGAGAATGGAGGAAAAAGGATTATGGTGTGGCCGTCCTCCTTCGGGAAAAGATTTCTTGCTTTCTGCCTCTCTGTCTCTTTGGTGAGCATATGTACCCTATAGCAAAAATCTCTCTTAAAAAAAAAATTATATTTCTAACATTGTTACCCTCAATGAGTCTATTTTTATAATGTTTAAGTGAATAATTAAGTACAGGAAGAAAATAGAATCAATTGCACTTTCCCATTTGAAAAGTATTCTGTAGGGTTGCTGGTGACATTGAGATAAGCTTGTTAAAAAAGTTTTTTTAATAAACTATTCTAGAACAGTCCTTCCTATTTCCAACATGCACAACAATCTTCCCTATGTTTCAGTAGATTAATCTTGAAAATATTGGCAGGGCCTCACCCAAAGTTCCACTGTATTTCTGATAACTATTCAGGAAGACTTCTAACTCACTGTGCAAATTAATGAGATTTTCTAAATGAATTGTAACTGGCACTCAAAAACCTGTCTCCTTTGACTTTGTGGATTCTTCTGAGGACTATTCTCTAATTTGAGAATACTGACTTAAAACTTTCAAACTATTTCCTTCAAAATTACCACACTAAACATATTTAGGTACCCAGGGATACTGGCTCTCGCCCTAAATAAACGGTTCTCAAAAAGCCGAGTTTCTGTCATCTTTCATTTCACTGACTTAGTAACTAAGATGTACTTACTAAGTAAGGTGCCTGAAGTAGGTTCACTTTTCCTACTGAATAAAGAGCAATGGTTTTGTGAATATTTTCCTCGGTGTTAGGAGGTCCTCTGACTTTACCGCTTAGGTTTCTCTACTAACCTGAATAGCTAAAATTGTTGAAAATCTGACCACAAGATTAAAGGAATGTTACTATAGTATCACTGAGAAACACTGGACTACCACAATTAATTTCCTAATACTCAGAAATAAAAGATTTACATAGTATCAAACAGAACTGTACCTACTTAAATAAAAAGCAATGTTACCCAATCTTAATTCAACAGGTTTCTCTCAGAAGGGAAAAACCACAAAGACAGAAATGAGAAAGTCACCCATCTTACCTGAGCACCCACTAGCTGCAGCAATGCTGAGTTCACGGGGAGGAGCTCAATGTCTGTATTGATAGTGGTCTGGTCGAATGGGCAAGCCTTGCGGTGGAGTTTATTCAGGCACATCTTGCAGACAGTATGGCCACAGCCCAAACTGATGGGCTTTCGAATCGTTTCGTCGAAAGTCTGAGTGCAAATTGGGCAGGAGAGGAAATCCGTCCATTGTGGAGCTTGTACAGGCATTGCTTCTGGAGTTACAATTCACTAACACACATACACACAAAAAAATCTAAAGCAAAGATTCCACTGGAATCAAAATCTTTGAAAAAGTTTATCTTTTTTTTTTTTAATATCTTCTGTAGATACAGTCAGCACATAGTGTGAAATATAACCTGGAGAACAAAAAAAAAGAAAAAAATTGAGAGTGCTTTCTTTCTCAATTAAACTGCTAAAAAGTAATCACAAGTCTATTCTGATTCTATGACCTTTTATACTGCTTCATTTTTTTGTTTGTTTGTTTTCTAACTTGCCATAAGGCAAGTATGCTTGCCAAAGAAGAGAGTTTAAGAAAGCATCCCCCCACGGGGCATGGTCACATTACAATCCTTCCTCTTCCATTTCTCCCTCCTTTCAGGATTTTGGGTACACATGCACATACCCAGCATGTTTTTCGACACGCAGGTCTGAGACTCAAACTACACTGCTGGCCATGTGGGATCTTGCTGCCCCAACCACCACGCCACAGGCTGGGCATTTATAACATTTATACCAAGATAATCCATCCTTCTGCACTTTCACAGAATCAGATATACAAAAAAACAAAAAACAAAAACAAACAAACAAAAACAAGTCTCATTCTCTCTTAGAGATAGGGAGTAATCCCCCCAAAATAAAATAACTTGCCTAATTTGACACTTGATATCACTAATAAAGTTAAAAGCAGAACCTAAATCTCTAATTGTTTTAAAAAAGGTATTTTAAAGAGATTTTTGCTATAGGGCATGTGTGCTTGCTAGAGAGACAGAAAGTGAGAAAGCACTCCCCAGGGCGGATGGCCAGGCCACAATCCATTCTCCTTTTGGGATTCTGAGCATGCCCGCACATGCGCCCAGTGTGAGTTTTTTAAAGCCATCAGGTCCAGGATTCAAACCCTGGATGACTTCATGGGAGTCCAGCAATGTAACCATGAAGTCATCTGCTGGTCCCTAATTCTTTTCTTTTTTTCTTTCTTTTTTTTGGGGGGGGGGAGAGATTTTCACTGTAGGGCGCGTGCGCTCGCCAGACAGACAGAGAGACACATAGAGACAGAAAGCGAGAAATCACCCCCCAGGGGGGATGGTCACGCCGCAATCCCTTCTCCTCCATTCTCCTCTTGGGATCTTGGGCA